CCACCCACCCACCCACCCAAACTTTCAAGTGCTGTCTGCTTATTAGGTGGTACTATCTACTTATTACTCAAAACCAAGGTCTGGGTTGGAAGGAGACAGTTGCGTTGGGACAATCCCTCCAGGAGGTGTAAACTTTAAGGCAGCCGCAGTACTCTCCTTGAGCTGGCCTTTATTGAAGTTTCCCCAGATTTGCCGTGCATGCCGCTTCCGAAAACAGTCAAAACCCGCAGTTTCGAGTGTAGCCGATGGAGGAGATTTGCAAGGCTAGAGCTTTCCACTAGAAGAGAAGCGCTGCCTGTTTGTTCTTGTCTGCCTGGCAGTGCCTGAGTTTGAGATTTGACATTCTAAACCCTCAGCCGAAACCTTAGTCGTGGAAAGCTGTTGTTCCACTGGAGTCTTGTGTTCCCCGCCAGAAGTTGCGGCTTGGAGCTCGACATGTTTCCCAACGGAGACCCCGAAGCCAGATGATTATGATAGAATCAGGGTCACCGTCGTCATCACCATGGGCCGTTAACCTACAAGACGTGCTAGCCTTTTTCTTGTTGGAAGGGTTCCCATAGTCTTTCTCGAGGGTTCAAAAAAGCAAGGCTCCTCGACTGAAGTGGCTGTTGCCATCAGGTCATTGTTTCCTGAGCATCCCCTTCATAACAAATACTTCGTGTTTCGCAATGACCCCGCCATCGCTAAACCGGTAATACGAGTTCCTACGAGAACTTATCACTAGCTTTATGTCGGTTCATTCGTATCAGTTTGTTTGACTTGAATCGAGCCATGATCGGTGTTGCGGCACTGCCTGACAGCGCCACCATCGCGCGACTCCGGCTTCACATTGACACTTCTGATGTTCAAGTTTATGAAGTTCAAGTTTATGAAGTCTCTGTCCCAGAGACACGAGTGTCAGGCCATATAGAGCGATGGGAATGAATCGGAGCATGTCATAGCACCAGTATACAATTACAAGCAAAAAATAATAGCACCCTGAGTCCCCACTACCCTAAACCTCGCCTGGCTGTGCCGAGCTGTGGGTGCCAAAAATGGCCCAAGCCCAAACTTAATGGGCGCTGCGGACGACAGCTTTTTCGTCTGCACAGTGCGTTCAGATCTTTCCGAGGTTCCTGCAGCAGGCACATCAGTGCCCCGGCCGGTCTCTAGAGTCTTCAAAGGGCGTGGTCAGGCCTCTTCAGGCGGCACTGCGGAGAAACCAGACCCCGAAGGTAGGGTTGCTACAAAGGTTTTTGTCAGTATCTATGACAGGTTCATGAGATTGTGTAAACCTTTTGCCCCAGGACCGTGAGTCCCAAATCGGGTCAACAGCGGGCTCGGGATTCTTTCTTAATTCAAGGTTAAGAGATGTTGGAGCATGTCCGCAACGTATGGACGTAATTCGTCAATCTTACCGATAAATAAGAAACAAACTCCGGCAGTTGCCGAAGCTGTTCATGGGGCCTTTGGGGCCGGTGGGGTTTTGCGTGGTTACTCCTCAGCCCCCCGCGTCCTGTTTCGCGCTACACAGGCGCTCTCTCGAGTTGTGGGGGGTTTTGAGCTTTGGCTTCGTGAGTGTTTGGTCTTTGGAAAGAGGGCCCCAGGCCCGTAACTTTGCGCAAAAGACCGGGAAAGAAGGAGGATCGGTGGGCATCCAGAGGCCGGTGGGCCTTCTGACTCCCTTTTGTGCAAGGTCAAAAGTTTTACATCTTCGCCATTCCAGAAGACAGAGAAACCCCAGACCCCAAGTGCTACACTGCTACACGAAGTCCGAACCAAACAGTTCTTAATCGGCCGAGGCTGACATGCTACCTCGCCCGGGCTGCGGAAGATGTGGGCACAGGCATACCGGCGCAACATAAGATCGAATGTCCGAACAGATGACACATGACTGACGATTACTGTCCCAATCTCTACTGCCACCACCACGATTCCTGCTTCTTCTTCTTCTTCTCCTTCTTGTGCTGCTGTTTCTTCTTGAACTACTGCTGCCGCTGCTGCAACTGCTCCCAACTACAAACACATTAGGCATAGCAATCGTCACTCGATTACTGCCACTGCTACTACACTCGTACTCTACTCGTACTATTGCCACAGCTGCCGAGCTACTGCTACTGCTACCGCTACCGCTATCGCTGCCGCTGCTGCTGCTACTGCTACTGCTGCAGCCGGCGACTGCGACTGTGGCTGCGGCGACGACGGTGACTAGTGGTAGTGGTAGTGGTAGTGCTAGTGGTGCTACCACAACCGCTACTCCACCCCCTGCTCTTGTTCCTCCTACCACGACCACTACCACTACCACTGCCTCTACCACTGCCACAACCACTACTAGTACCAGTACTCGTGGTCGTACTTGTACTCGTCGTACTCGTAGTAGTAGTAGTAGTAGTAGTAGTAGTAGAAGTAGTAGTAGTAGTAGTAGTAGTAGTAGTAGTAGCAGCAGCAGCAGCAGTAGTAGTAGTAGTCGTAGTAGCAGGAGTAGTAGTAGTAGCAGTAGTAGTAGCAGTAGTAGTAGTAGTAGCAGTAGCAGTAGTAGTAGTAGTAGTAGTAGTAGTAGTAGTAATCCGAAGGTCTGAATAGTAGGGGGGGCCCCCCCCCCCTCCCTCGGAATTACGATGCCGGGGTCCGCATTAATGGATAACCATCGCTTGGCTGCTGGGGTTCTTTGGGCTTTATTAAAAATACTAGGATTGTATTGAATCTCCATTGCACAGTTGGAAAAGGCTGGATGGATGGCGAAAACCTTCACTGGGGCTCTTTGGGCTGTATTAAAAATACTAGGATTGTATTGAATCTCTATCACAAAACAAGCAAAGGCAAAGACTGCAGCCACAGTCGCGGCCCGGAGGCTTGCAATGGTATAAATGTGGACCCTTTTCTTCATCTGGATCGGTGTGCTGCCGGGCAGGCCCCGTAAGGGGTAGCTCAGGACAGAATGAAATATTGCTTCCTTGAACAAGCGAATTAATAAGAACGCCTAGCTTTCTGAGAAGCTTGAACTTTTGGAAAAAGCTTGGGCTCGGAAGCCAGCTCCCGCTGAGGGAGAAGACCGGTCCTCAGCATAGCTTTGTCTCTCTGTTAAAAAACAAGCAAAAGCAAAGACAAGCTGTCATCCTTGAAACTTTAGACCTCCAAAAACAATTTCTTTAAATGTGAACCCTTTTCCCCAGACGAAATCCTGCCGCAATCTGAACTCCTCTTCCGACCCAAATCCGGCCCGAAAAATTTCTCTAAGTGTGGACCATTTTGTAAATCAGACCCTCGTAGTAGTAGTAGTAGTAGTAGTAGTAGTAGTAGTAGCGGTAGCAGGAG